TTTGCCTGATGAGATGAAATGATGTTGGAATAGAGTATTATAGAGTAGAAGTAAGGATGAAAGGTTAATGTGTATTGCTTGATCTGATCATTCTAAACCGACGGGTTTCAAGCCAGCCTTATATCCCACCATCGCCTCCTCCAAAACTCGCATTCGGACCCCCCTACGCGCACTGCATACTAATCACAATAGACTATTCTGGTGGGCGCAAGGCACCAGCGGATCAACATTGGCAGCCGCTGACCGCAGTCGGAGTACCGAGATGGATGCGCGTTGCGTGGGAGCGTCGTGGACGAGCGTGGCGCAGCAAGGATTTCCAAACAGCGAGCTATGCGAGAGGGCGATTTTTGTTGCGCGAGGGTTGGGAGGCGAGGGCGAGGGGCGATAGAGCGGGATTATGGTAGTACCTACTAGAGAGTGATGGAAAGGTGGCGCACTAAGTCATTCGGTAACAAGGGCGACTCGTCTCGCTGCTCGCTCATTTGCCGTAGGAATTGCATCCTCCTCTTGAATTCAATTAGATCACAAGACTTCAACAACTAAAAACAGTCGGTGTGGCTCAGTTGGTTAGAGCGTTGGTCTCATAGCATGACTTGGCCCAAGGTCAGGGACATCCAAAGGTCGAGAGTTCGAGCCTCTCCACCGACAGTTCTTTTTGCCTTTCGTGGAGAATCTTGTCTTCATTTCTGCCATTTCTCTTAAACTCTTTTTATATACCACCCGCCTGTGTTACCACTGTCTATCAAGGTCTATTTTTGTCGCACAAGGCTTTTGGATGTCGTTACTAGATACGGAGTATACTTGCATGCTAAATGTTCGGAACCCATGGCCCTAACTTGGATTCTGTCCTCCATTAACCTGACATGGAACGGGGTAGAACATAGTATCTATGGTAGGTGCCCTTAACTCATTATCAACTATAAATATGAGCAAAACTGATCTTGTTCTTAGAGCTTGGCTGGCCTGAATTGATCCCATAGCCTTCATTCATATTTCTGGGGGCGACTCAAGGAGGATGAGCAGCCAAAACATGTATACTCATTAATTTAGAAACATACCTGCTTGATAAGCTCTATGAGTATTCGCAGCTTAACCGTCATAGATGACAGGGTCCTCCCCGCTATTAATTGTGGCCGAATTACAGGCGGCTGGGCCTGGTGGCTACGTCGTACAAGCTGCGGGGGTTGAAACATCAGGACAACCAGAGGTGGGCGAGCAACGAAGGAGCTACACAAACTTGCCTCTCACTTTGTTCCAGCGAACTTGTCCTCGGTGGCGCCCGTCAAATGGAGACAGTCCGCCGCCTTCAAAAATTCCGTTCTGATCTCCAAGGAGTTCTAGATCTGGATCAGTTGGTCGCTGTCTGTCGTCACCTTTCGGACCAGAAAGAGGCTGCAGTATCTCCAGATTCCCCCATCACCAAGCCCATCCACCAGCAAACAAAGGCTTTGCTAGAAGCTGTGTGCCGCTACCGAGACTTGATCTACCAGCCGGTAAACACTTTGAAGAAAGCCACTGTCGGCCCCCTCCTGACGCGGAGGCAGTACCCCCCGCCGTTTTCTGGAAATTAACATCCATACAGGCCGACCAAGCCGACCTGAAAGAGCATTTGCTCAAGGTCAAAAGAGGTCTAATCAAGTTTCTTATCCTCGAAGAGTTCCTCGCTCGTAACCCAGAAACTGGCCGAGTGGGCGGCTTGAATGCCCTGTTCGCGTCCAAGTTCATTCTGCAGGATGATGGACGCGCTGGCTCGATCTTTGAGTCCCTGGGGCCCGATGGCGCTCAGCGAATACTAAGTGGCGTGCAAAGAATGATGAATGCCATAGGACCTGACCTATCCATCGATGAAGCTATCCAACTTCTTCACAAGGACCAGTAAGTACTTGCAGTAATATCTGACCCCCGGAGAGCTAACAGGGTGAAAGGGATGACATCCAGGCCCTCTTTTCTCATACGAATGCCCGAATCCATCCACGATACGTCCGAAAGTACCAGAAAATAGAGGACACCGCCTACAAACAAAACGTGACCGCCGGCGTGACGAAAGGCAGCTTTGCCTTTGTTCACAGGGTCCAACACAAGGACACTGGCGAGATCTTGGCCATGAAGACTTTCTTTAAAGGGGGTGACAGAACCCAGATTCTCTATGAGATTGGTGTCCTCGAGGTGTGCGACCACCCAAACATCCCGAATCTTGTCGAGGCCCTTTCCGTGCCGACCGAGGACGAGGACGAGGACGAAGACGAGACGATCAATATTGTCATGAGTCCCTGGGCTCCATTCACGCTTCATGAGTTCCTGGGATCGTCCGAAGAAAAGAGGAGAACTCGGTGTTCCTGGTTTCTGCCAGATTCGCCCGAGTCCGAGATGTGCATTTACCAAATCATGCAGCAACTCGCTGACGCTGTTGCCTACCTGCACCGCCTATCGATCAAGCACAAAGACATTAAGCCTGAAAACATCCTTCTATACAAGCCGGGATTCTCACCCCCCCACGCAATCGTCGCTGACGTTGGAGTCAGCAAGGTCCTGGTCAAGAACGGATCTACGAACTATATCGACAGCTCGTACCAATATCTGGCCCCGGAGCAAGTCGCTGAGAAGGATAGTAGCCTTCCAGCAGACGTCTGGCAGTTGGGCTGCTGCTTTGCGCTGCTGCTGGCTGTGTCCAAAGCGGGAACGTTGGGCCACATGAGGCTTTGGAACAGCTTCTGCTGCTCAAAAGAACACCGCTCGTGTCAGATTGCGAGAGAGCATGGCCACTTTATGAAAAGCTTCCGAGAGATCTATCTACTTAGGTCTCGGGCAGATCATGTAGCGTACTCGCTCGTGTCGCGCATGTTGAACCCAGTTCACGAGGCCCGGATCGATATTGAAGGGGTCCTTGCTTCGGTAGAGAGCCTGGTCCGACTGGCAAGCCAGGAAGAAGCTCGTAGAGCAATCATGGCTGGTTGACGGCATATGGGGATGAGATTGTTTTGTCTAGTTTCAGTTTGGGGAAAAGTTCCAGTTTAGAGAAAAGATTGCCTAGCGTTTAGCGCATCTCTATTAGCTACTCAGTACAAACATCGGATCAGTTATTTAAAAAGGTAGCTCCTTGATCCTAACTCTTTTCTCATCCGTTAAGATTACCTGCAATACATAAAAAAAAAAAAAAGAGGTCCTACTGACGCGAATCCAGCAAGGACAATCCTCAGGGTACAGTCAATAAAAGTTGCCATTAATGACGCTAGTATTTGAACTGATTGGCCTAGAGATGATCACAAGAGCTTATATAAAGTCAATGAAGAATGAAAGGGTCGATTATGTACATCTATTATGGAGATTACCACCAATATGCACGCTTTACACACACCCCCTATGCATTAATCAGTCGGCACTATAAACTGCACCATGCTAACATCATCAACCGAAAAAGAAACACTCTCGCAACGGGATACGATGGCGACACCAGGATCATTGATGATAAATGCCAGTCGACTGTAATGGAACATGGCCCGGACCTCTAGCCAATTGTCGACAGCATCGTTTACATTTATGACTGAGGAGCCTAGTGCCATGTGACCGCCATTGGCAACCGAGGGCGCCAACATGAGGTCGAGGCAAGAGTTGTCGGGCACACGGATGCGGGCGGTGACGAGGTATCTCCCGACGACGAGGCGGGTGCTGTCGAGGGGTTGGTAGATGCCCCAGTACTCGCCCCCGATGTTGTCGCTGTGCTCGTAGGTGCCTGACTGCTGACCCACGTAGGGTTGGTTCGTTGAGATGCCCAAGCTGCCTGTGTTTCTGGTGTTGAAGATGGCCCAAGGCTGAGGGGTGCTCGCTTCGAAGCCTCCGTTGATGATGAGGTTGGTTTCTTCTGGCTCGGGCTCGGCAGAGGTGGTGGTTGACTCGGTGGTTGTGAAGGCAGCAGTGCTTTCAGTGGACAGCTCAGAAGTCGTGGCATCGGAGGTGGGAGCTGCCTGGGTGGGCGTCTCGATGATGACGGTACCAGGTTGATCTCCTTGGGGTGCAATCGTAGTAACCGTGATCGGAGCAGTGATTACACCGGGGCCAGGATGAGGCCTGAAGATCGTGACATAAAAACCAGGCTCGGGCGCAGTAGTAACAGGAGCTGAGGATAGAGTAGCAGAAGTGGTAGACTCGCTGAATGAAGCAGTTGTCGATTCGGTGGTTGTAAGGACAGTAGTGCTCTCGGTGGAAGCCGTAGTAGACTCTTCCGAGGCGATGCTTGACTCGGTACTACTCTCAGTAGAAGCCGTAGACACAGTCTCAGAGGAAGCAGTAGTGCTAACACTCAGAGACGTAGAAGTCAATGGCGGCAAGCATGGTGAAGACAATACTCCACGAGCCAAAGCCAACAGCGGAAGCGCAAATATCTCAGACTTCATGATGAAGTGTCAACGGACAAAAAATGCTTCAAGGGAAAAGAACGAGAGACAGTGAAGACTTGAAAAGAGTGAGAAAAAAAAGAAGCTTAAAAATAAGAAAGGAGACGGTGCTGTTTTGTTGTTGACCATGGCTGCTGTGCCGAGTCGATAGTTTGTCAATAGCGCGCTTCAGAGACCCAGTGGCGTTGGTTGTAATTTCCAGTAACTGTCAGCTCTGCGGTTTGGACCAACTAGAGGATAGTATAGTGGCTCCAGAGAGGCAACGGAAAGAAGCTGAATATTTTGACTGTTGGAGAGAGGCGTTGAGGCCTCTGCGGCGCCGTGGACGGGAGGTTTGTTGGCTGAAAGCCATGTTGGAGATGGTGTTTAACACTGACTGAATAAACCACTTGGCTGTTATTGCAGAGCCAACACTCGTCAACTCACTTCAAGGTTCAAGTATAGTACTATATTTATCAACAGACAAGTAATTGCTGTTTGTTTTGTCGGTGTTTATGTGTAAACCGTGAGTTGTACTGAATCGTGACTTGACTGCCCAAGATGGACAGTCCCCTGCCGATCTCGACAATAGGCGTCCTACCACTGCCGACATCAACCAATCAGAAGCAAGCCTCTATGGCTCAGTGGTAGAGCGTATCACTAGTACCCCCCAGTGGTCATGATAAGGTCCCAGGTTCGATCCCTGGTGGAGGCACAAATCAAGCTTCTTCTGATTCTTTTTTATTTGCGTCTCTTTTGAATGCCCCTGTCTCGGACGATTTTCTATATCGGTCCGTTGTTTTTTTGTTATCGCAGGGCTGTAGGGCCCTTCCCCGGATGCTCAGATTCCCGAGTCCGACGAAAGGTACGTACCTCTATAACTCGACCCAAGGGAAAGCACGCTCTTCCCCCACGTCATCTATTGCCTGGAGCTTCCGAGCTGCGGGAGAGCTCTCCTCCATCATGACAGCTCCACCATCACCATCAAAAAGATCAATTTTCTCAACTCGAGCTCCATTCATTCTATAACCCACATCTCTCTTCTTCTTCGCTCGAGTCAACTACGCAAGGGTCAGCTCTCTCATCTATCCCGATAGCTTCCGTCACCATGCCTGCTGAGGACTCCCGCTCGTACGGCGACGCCGCACACGAGACTGCTTCTGGCTTCATCGCCTATGCCCGCAGCTCTGTCGATCGTGTTGTATCTCCTGATTCTCGGGAGCGCGCGTACAAGAACACTGCCTCATTCGCCTCTGACCGACCTTTTCTCTTTGTGAGCTCCTTTGCCAATCCCCCTCCCTTGAAGCTGTAAAGGACACTAACCTTGACCAGTCTATTATCGTCTTTCAGCTTCTCTTCGCCTTCCTCCCAATCCTTCTCTTCATCACATTTAGTCTGTCAACCGTCGCCTTTGCCCTCGGCGCTGCCGTCCTCTTTTCGCTCTTCTGGATCGGCGTCGCCCTTATGATCCTGGTGCCTACCCTGCTCGTCACTTCGTCCATTGCCGTTCTCGCCTGGGCCTGGGCTGCAGGTAGCTTCATCGTTGTCCGGTGGTTGTATGAGCATGCACCTATTGGGAACAAGGGCAGTGAGGTCGTCGTCAAGCAGGAGAATGGGAGCTAGACTCAAACACTCTTCTTTCCAGGACATGGTATTTTCTTTTCATGTGGTAGTTATTGATTGGGGAATTCGGAACTAGGACAAGGATTATGGTAATGGGGAGGATAATCAGCGTTTCTCAGAGTTTCGTGTCTGGGACTTGTACGATACGATGGATTGATGGACACGAATATGTTCCAACAGCGTCAACACTTCTGTTTAGCTGAGAATAGTGATGGCAGATGGAATACACTACATCATTTCACTTCCTGCATTGTTGCACATAGCTGCCACCCCCTGATTCACCTCATCTGCAGATCACATACCATGTTGACAGTCAACTTCTATTCCACATTACAAGCAGAGCCGTCCGTCTATCGAGAATCCCAACCCAGTGATAGGTACATTACAAATACAGACCCTCTGGCTCACCCTCCTGCTTGGTGCGGAGCACTCTCTCACGCGCCGATCGGAAATCCGCCATCTGAACACGCATTCTCCGCTCTCGGAGAGCCAGCAGACCCGCCTCAGAGCAGATGGCCTTGATGTCAGCACCAGAAAGGTCATCCTTCTGCGAGATGAACTCCTCAAGATCAACATCATCGTTCAGGTTCATCTTAGACGTGTGCAGTGTAAAGATCTTGCGCTTGGTGTTCTGATCGGGGTTCTCGAAGAGGATCTTTCGGTCGATACGTCCTGGTCGGATCAGGGCAGGGTCCAGACTCTCGATCTTGTTGGTGGCCATGATGACCTTGACGTCACCTCGGTCGTCGAATCCGTCCAGCTGGTTCAGAAGCTCCAGCATAGTTCGCTGGACTTCTCGCTCACCACCCGACGTCGAATCGTATCGCTTCGTACCAATGGCATCGATTTCGTCAATAAAGACAATGGATGGGGCATTTTCTCCAGCAACCTGCTGCATGTTAGTAAATGCTACACCTATCGAACAACTCAACTTGCCTGGAAAAGCTGTCGCACAAGTCTCGGACCATCACCGAGGTACTTCTGGATCAGTTCACTGCCAACAATGCGGAGGAAAGTGGCAGACGTTTGGTTGGCAACCGCCTTGGCTAGCAGTGTCTTTCCTGTACCAGGAGCACCGTAGAGAATGACACCCTTGGGAGGCTTAATACCCATCTCCTCGTACAGCTCCGGATGGAGCAGCGGCAGCTCCACCGACTCTCTGACTTCCTGGATCTGCTGCTCGAGACCACCAATGTCGGCGTATGACTCGGTAGGAGCCTTGTCAAGCTTCATGACACTGACAATAGGGTCGGCATCATCCGTCAAGACACCAACGATGCTGACGCTCTTGTGATGCAGAAGAACACTGGCACCGGGCTCCAACAGGTCCTTGTCGACGAAGCTCATGATGCTGACGTAGTACTCAGGACCGGTCGTACTACTGACGATCGCATGGTCATCGTCAATCAACTCCTCCAAGGTTCCAACGCCCATGGGGCTTCCTCGCATGTCATCAACACGACCTCGCTCATCCGCTAACCGGTCGATATCCGCATCGGTGGCGGAGGTCTGTCCCTCCTTGGCAGCCTTGGCCTTGCGTAGACGCTCCTGATTCTCGACATACTCCTCCTCAAGCAAGAGATGATCGTGGATTCGCTGCATTCGCAAGAGACGGAGCTTGCATCGGCTGGTCGGGTAGACGGCGGGAAGCTTCTGGGCGGCGCTGGTGCCACCAGCCTTTCTCTTCTTGCGTCCAACTCGAGTCGTGGGTCGGGGCGGAGGCTCGTACTTGGGCTTATCCTTCTACGGGGAGGTTAGAGCAGCATTCATCAAGTGTCCGCGATGCACTTGCCTTCTTGTCCTTGTCGTCGCGCCCATCTCCCCCCATGCCAGATTGACCTTGACCCTGTAACGACGTCAACAGCTGCTAGAGGACCCTGTGCAGTCACGGAAGCTCACCATCTTGGCTTATCTAGCTCTAGGAGCTCAAGTTCTGCTGATTATCGATAAAAGAGACGCTCGCGATGTTGTTGTGTGGAGGTGAGGCGGAGGTGGTTGTTGTGGAAGATCGAGGTCGAGGCTCCAGGCGACCCAGTGATGATGAATGCGAAAGCGCCAATGCAATCAGGCGCCAGGGAAACACGACAGCTGGAGGCCAATCACGTGGTTAAATCACGTGATCACCAACAACAGCACCTCAGTGACGATGGAATTAATTGCAAGATAAATCGAGATTCATTTTAGGATTCCATTATAGAATAAAATAGCAATGACTGATGGTTGACATTTTGCCAAAATACTTTTTGAATCCATGGTTGTTGAGCGAAATCGGGGGCATCCCTGTCGGTTGCAGCCTGGAGGGACCACGCTGGCTGCAATTCACGCGACATCTGATATTCAATGATATTTCTTTCAGAAATTAATTCTCTCCTGTAACCATCAATCAGCTTGAATCATGGGCTCTACAACGCTTCTATGTGGCTTCAAAGTTTCCATTGGCACTCTCGATGCCTTCCTTGACGCCAACGGGGTGGACGAGACAGACGGAACTCCCCCGTTCTACGAAGATCATCCCGACAAAGATGAAATTTCCAAGCTATTATACGCCAAGATCACACAAGCAGGCGGGACTGCGGACAAGAATAGGTTTCGAGCCATGATTCCATTGAAGGAAGGTCGTGGCAAGTCGACTGTTGCATACGTCACTTATGTCTGGCTCACGGTTTACGCACATCGTGAGGTTCTTCTGGATGAGGATCTCCCCATTGCCGTCCCAGAAGGATTTGAAGAGCTGAGGAGAGAAATTTTGTCGTTTGGTGAAAAGATTGAGACTGTAGACAAGATTGCCGACGAGGGCAAGATGGGCCTGTTCTTGGTTCACATATACGAAATTCGAGGCTTATACAAACCCCAAGAAATGCGTGAGTGGGCAAAGGTAAGGACTCCTTTCTGCATTCGTCTCTTTAGCTGCTCGATACTAACCGAGAGTCTTGGCCAGGTTCCTCAGTACTGCGACCAATGCGATGCTGTGTTTGACGATCCCTATGGTGCGTTTACTCAACGACAGCTGCATCGAAGGGATGTCCACGGATCCAAGGAGAGCACGTGTCCACTTCCTGAGGGTTAGACGAGAGTGAGAAAATGTTTGCTTGATTTTGAATAATCATTAGATATAGTTACATCATAAGTACATTAGTTTCCTTCAATCTCAATCCTTGCAACCAAGTCAGAAAGACAATGAACTCCGATACCCCATCATAATGTCATGAATAATCATTCTAATCAAACCAACCCCTAGCGAACAAGTGAGTAAATGCGGTGTAGAGCATCCCTCACCCTTTTCAACCCCGTCATCTCCCTGTGGGTCTTGGTCTTCTGTCGCTTTCGAGTCAACCTTGGGAACAGACGTTGCGCTGCGGTTTGAGGCAGGCTTTTGACTTTTTTTAGCACTTGTATCGGCTCCTTGGACCATTCTTTCTGTTTCTTCTCCATGAGCAGGTCGGCATATGTGGCAAAGATGCTCGTAACGTCCTTCCACTCAGGATCTGAGTTCTTCTCTTGGATGATGTCGAAGCAGTGCCCGGCCCATGGTCCCCGCCGTTGAAAGAGATGCTCAAGCCTTGCAGTGGAATTATCAGCTGGGATGGCCTTTGCTCCGAGCAGAGATGTCCAGCAGATGTACCACAGCAAGATCGCGTCCACTGTCGCCCAGCGGTGGTTTTCAAGGGCAAGTGTCATGCGATCTCGATTGTTGTTTTCAAGAACCAATCCTAAAGAGACGTATTCTTTTGTTGTTAGGTTACGGAGTTGCCAACGTGTTCCCTCTACGTAGGGAATCCGGTCTATTGATGCCTTGAGCAGTGTGTGTAATTCTTTTGGGATGCGGCTCATTGTGATGTACTTGTCGAATGCTTCAAGATAAATATTGCTGTTCTTTTTTGAAGCTTCGGCAGAGCATTGGAGCATCCGCTTCCTCCAGGTATCTGAAGGATTTACTCGGTTATCAATGTCGTCAACGGCCCACGGATCGTTGACCTCAGGATAAAGGCTGTGTAGGCTTTCAGGTAGGTCATCGATGTACGAACTGGCGCAGATGAGAGGAATGCCGGCCCAACTCGGGTCACTCGTCGAAGTACGGTATGCGCTTCGAAC